GTATATACATACACTGCAATTTAGTTAAGTGATGACAGTGTGAGATCTGAATCAGATAATTGGCCTAAAACAGTTTTCAGTAAAATCACATTATAAGTTGATAGAAAAACAAACATGTAGACTATGATAGAATCATAAATTCTTGAATAATCAACTTTTGCTACAACAACTTTAAGAAACTGACAGTTTGAAACAGAACTACATCCTTTCAGAGTTGATGTCATGTGAAATCAGTTTGACCAAACGGCTGTAATTCTCTGACACCAGCTTTGTTCCAGGGTTCAATGACAACATTTACAGGGTGAAACTGTGAGTTAACAGGAGTCTCCTGAACTTACATGGAGAGTTAAGTCATGTCTGATTACTTACATGTTCTAGTGTCAGGGATTGGCATACGCTTGTGTCTGAGTCAGGATGTTACGAGACTCTGCTCAGACATGCATTACAAAATAAACTGCACCAGGTGGTAACTAAGACGTGATGTGTTTAGATGTTCTGGACTTAAGAGAAGTCCTGGATGTTTGAATGATGTTCATTATGTCAGAGCAGAAATTTAAATCTGATGGGTGTGCACATTTAAAACCTGAGGTCCTGTTAGGACCTGGCACTTGTATTCAAACTGATTCATTCCCAACTACAACCATTGACACCTGCCATTAAAACCCATCTGATCTGATACAAGTAAGATCCAGGATGGGTCTGAATGAGGTCCAACCTCTACACTGAATCACCTATAACAAGACAGAGGTTTCAACAACCTGCCACTCAGTGCCATGGATGGSACTAACTCATGGGTGGGCAACCACGGTCCTGGAGGGCCGCAGTCCTACATGTTTTACATGTTTCCTGCTTCAACACACCTGATTCAGTCACTGAACTACCTCTTCATGTTCTGCAGTATGGAGGACCGACATTGACATAATTAGAAATGACAGCAGAAATAGATAATAAACCTTTAAATAAATAAATACATTTAAAATGCACCAAATCAATTAAAAAGGATAACTTTACCTCATGTTTATAATTTAATTTACCTTCATATTTATTTTTTCAGCTTAGTTCCAATAAATTATATATTTTAA